GTGCAAAGGCCTGGTGCAAGGAGGGAGTCACAGAGAACTCTAGAGATGAACTCCAAACAGACCCATGGGCCCTATAATGTGTATTTTACAGAGACGGAAACTAAGGCTCAGCACAACGTCTAGCTCTGACACGAAAAGGCTACTTGGGAGGCTGAGGTAGGAGGATCACCAAGTTCAAGGCTAGCTGGACAACTTAGCGAGAACGGGCCTCGAAATAAAACTCAGGCTAGGGGTCTAGCTCAGTGGTGAGCACTTGCCTGCCATGCAAGGCATGCAAAAGGCTCTAGGTTCAATCCTTAGCACTATAGGGGGCTTGCAAGTTAGCTCAGCTCAGTTGTTTAAGTACCTACTGGGGCAAACCCAGTCAGGCACAGGAGACTACGGTTTGATCCCCAGCTCCCCATGCTTTGCCAGACGTGCCCTTAAGGTAGCCTGAGCCAGCCCCCCCCCCAAAAAAAAAATCCTTAGCGCAGTAAATAAAAAGAAAAAAGTGAAGCCAGAGAAGCCTAAAGCAGTGGCAATATACATCTGTGGACAGGAGGTTAGGTGAGCACCCAAGGGCCAAGTTTCCTAACTACTAACACAAGGGATTACCATTAGGTAGGTGTAGTAATGCATACCTGTAATCTCCTCAGATGGGATGCTGAGGCAGGGGGACTGCTTGTGAATTCCTATAACATAGTGAGACCTCGTCTCAAAGAAAAAAAGTAATAAAATAATAAAGCAGGAAGTCTGGCTACATGTCCCTAAACCTGGACGAAGGTCAACTGCAGAAATCCAGATTTCTATGGCAGAAGCAGAGATAGCTCAGTTATGTCCAAACAGGATCCTCCCTGAAAGCAAGGCTGAGAATGGGGCAGGAAATCACAAGCCCTATAGGTACATTCCCTGACCACAGGAAGCTTTTCAGGTAGCAAAGAAAAGAAATCATCCGCACTTCTAATCTCCAAGCAACTGTTAGCTGAAGGACAAAAAGTCAGGGGTTTTTTTTTGCTGTTTGTTTGTTTGTTTTGTGGTGCCTGGGATCAAACTCAAGACCTTGCACTTGCCAACAGGGTCTTTTTCTGTGGCCTAGGTTGGGCTCAAGCCATCTTCCTGTCTCAGGGACCCCTGTCCCTTGCCATTAGCCTGGACTGTTCTACCCCACACTGGGTTGAGAACAAAGACTCTTACTTGTTCTAATTGGCTTCGAAGATGTTTGAAGCACTATCACTAACGCTGCAAACTAGTTTTTAGAAGAAATAAAATTGGCTTCATTTTATTGAAAAGTACACTGAGGCCAAAGTGCTCTTAGTAATTTGTCCGAGGGACAGAGTACCTCAAGACAGAGCCCAGGATACAGGGGCACATGTGGCCAGGCCAGGCGGCATGAGATAGAGACAGACAGACAGACAGACACACACACACACACACACACTCTCACACAAAGACACGCCAGGGGCTCATCCTGTTGGAAGCCTTCATTACAATGTCTGTATTTTGTCTTGGGTTGTTGTTGTTGTTATTATTATTATTATTATTATTATTAAACTTTCCATATTTGGGGGCAGCATCTAAATGACCAGTATGATTTCACTATCTGTGCTTGGCTCATCCAGAGTTAGCTAACTATAGCCATGTGCTATAGCACCATTTTTATCTTTGTTTTGACTCCACACAGGTAGAAGTTAACAGCAGTAATCAGTCTTCAATTTCTGAAAATTCTGGCCTGTTTTTCAGCGGGGAGGGGTTTAGATGGGTCCTGCCATGCTGCTCAGGCTGACCTGCACTCAAGAACTCCCTGCCTCTGCCTTGCAAGCAGCTGGGACTACAGGTATGCACCACCATCCCCAGCTCTTATGTATTTTTACAAGGGGAAACAGTAAAGCCATTTCTGTCTCAACTTGTGCCAACTCCTAACCGTTGGCCCTTAATAAAATGAGAAAAAGAAGTGGGCTGAGGAACTGTCAGTTCTTCTCCAAACTCCTTTAATTGCAGCTTATTTTTAAGTGATGCTAACATGCAAGAGAGGAAAAAAGCTAAGACGGCTTCTCCCTACCCTTGAAACAGAGCCTCTCTAAGAGCGAACAGCCTGGGCTGGAAGAGAATGGCCTCTTTCACACTATTTAGCCACCTCCTCTCTTCCGTTAGGCTTTCTAGTCAGGCAAAAAGGATGAGGACTCAGTCCAGCCAGCCACCCCAAAGTCAAACACCAAAGCCACGTGTCCAGTCATCAGCACTGTTTGTACTGTTTGTAAAGCAATTGGTGAAACAATGCCATCAGGTAGCATAAAGGTCCCGGTACAACCTGGAGTCATCTCAGGTCCCCCAGGCCATTTTCAGGATATGAAACTAGGAGGCACTGCAGGCAGTCTCTTTAAAACACTCTGTATATCAATCTGTTAATTATTGAAACTGTCCTACCAATTTGGTTTGAAACTGTCTCATTGTTATTTGTTTCTCAATAAAATTATGGAAAAATAAATAAATAAAACACTCTGGGGGCCAAGGAGATGGCTCAGTAGAATAAGCAC